AAAATATCGACACTAGCTAAGAATCGTTCCACATTGAAGGGGTGTTCCACGATCAGGCACAAAACCAATGCACCCGGGTTAGCCACGGGCTACCCCTATTTGCACGACGCACTTGCAAGTAACAACTTGCACGACTCAAACGCCCCCAGAACCACACAACCAGAAACCCATTTTTAAACTCAAAACAGCAGGGAAACAACACAGCACATAACCACCGCCGACAGGCCGCACAGCACGCGCAACGCAGCAGACCACACTGCAGATATGTCCCTGAAAAGAACGATACGTGACGACGAGCATTCAGTTGTCGCCGTAGAGGTAGAGAGCGGCGACGCGTGCATGCGATCAAGCCCAGCCGAAGAACAACGGCAGGAGGGGCAGGAGGAGCAGCAGCAGCAGCAGCAGCAGCAGCAGCAGCAGCAGCAGCAGGGAGAAGGAGGAGAGACCGCAGGAGGAGAAGAAGGAGACGCTCCCGACGAAACCGTGAGATCTTATTTTGATCATGGTTCATCAAAATAAACGTTCAGACAGGATATTTGTTTTGACAGGAGGATTGGACTACATAAATACACGAAGATGAGAGCGCCAACGTATTTTCATCATGGCTCACCAAAATAAACGTTCAGACAGCAGGATATTTGGTTTGACAGGAGGATACTTCGAGGTATATACGGAGAATGTCTGTATGTTGATGTATGGAATTTACGTTGTCTGTCATTATGTGATGAGATGGTACTGCGATGTGCTGGGTGCCTGCATGTATGTACTGCTGCGCTGGGGGGCATGGAAGTATTGGAGGTGCTCTTGGAGAGGTCTAACCCATAGGATGGCGAATGAGAAGAATTCGGGGATAGGGGCGAGTGTGACAGGGGTGCGTGCGGCGAGTGGGGGGATGGAATCTTCGCAGCTGGTGCTGCGAGCGGGAAAGATAAAGTACTGAAGTTGTTGATGGTTGAAGGCTGCTATAAAGACTAGATGGGAGTGAAAAAGCCGGGTATGGTCGTGCCCAACGTATAGTAGTCATCGATGACGCCGGCGAGCTCTGGGCGACCCGGTTGTGGCCTCTCAGGGTTGGACGGATGTGGTATATAATGTAAACGTTCATCAACCAATCAATGTCTCATTGTGTAAAGATGTTTGTTGTGTGCTGATGCAGCACTCGTGAGATGGCCATCGCTTCTTTCGTGAGGTTGTTCGCCCGCTCTGCCGTGGCTAAAGCTGGACGGAATGATAACTTTGTCGGCTGGTGCAGATGTACAGTAGTCCCGAGGGATCTTGGTATCCGTGACACCGCCAACTTGTGAGTGGTGTAATGAAGTGCGATACTTGTCGTGGTTATCTTGATTATGTGCGTGAACGGTGAGTCTTTGATACTCGTTGCGGCTGAATACGTCGATGAGGAATTCGTTCACCAAAGGAGCAACTTGTTGAAATCGGGGTTCCCATACCAACGACTGTGTTACCCTGTGATTTTATTCTCAGCTGTGCTTTGCATGGCAACGTGCAGCCGGATGCCCTGCCTTGTGGAAAAAAAAATGAAAAATAGTCCATGCCATGTCGTAAGCGGAGATGACGTTTTTCTCGCCGGTAAGTGTCCTGGTCATTGCTGCTTAGCCACGTGGAATGACCCCTTTAGCGCGTGTCGA